TTACTCTGCTCATTAATGCTAGAGTTGGTGACCTTTGTGAACCTCCAGCAAGTCGCTTTACAGTAAAAAAGCGAAAGTAGAGGATCTGAAATCTTAGTATTTTCGTTTCATTTTAAATTTCATTCCGATTTGCATCATGTCCCTTTTACGTGCATATCGCAAGAGGTAGTTCGGACTTTAGAAATCTTGCTTTAAATCATCTGAATGACTGTTTAATCATTACTTCGTCTAAAGTATCGGCAAGCATAAGGGCTTAGTTTCACTGCTTTTAAATTCTTATGTCGCCTTCGCCAGGAATGGAGATCAAAGCAACACAGTAGAATGTTGTTATATATGTTTGATTTTTCCAATGTCCGCTGGCAAAGACAGTTTTGAAGTCAGAATAGCGCTTTTATTTTTAGTTTTGATGTAGCTTGTAACAGGTTGTTGTGGACAAATCTACTGGGAAGTGTGCGTTTAGTATCATCATGAGAATTCGCTAGGTGCAAAAGCGGAAAGCTCATTTCAGACAAAGAATCCAGCGCAGGAAGGAGACATTTCTAAGCCGGTCTCTTTCGAGCTTCGACACTAAACGTAATCTCTAGGCGCCTTATCTAGCCATTTTATGAAACGTATAGAATCTGTGAAATTAGCTATCTCTTATTTTATCCGATATTTTTGTTGTTTTCATTAAATATACTCATGACTTATGTACTTCTGCAGGCCGCTCGCGCGGACGGACTTCGTGGTGAAATCATTTTGAGAGGTCTTGATCGATCGAAATTGAAACAACTATTTGAAATCGGAAAAAGAACGGGTCGAGTGAAGGTGAGTTGACGCATACCCCCTTTTCATGTCGCTCGATCATCATTGTTAAGGAGGATCGGAAAGAGGACAAAAAAGAAGTAACGGAAGGTAAGGAGGAGAGGCGGAAGGAGAAGAAAGAACGAGAAAAGAAGTCCAAGGACAGGTTAGCTGTAGAAGATACGTTGCGGAAGGAAAAATTATCAAGTGCAAGAAGCAGTCCAGTAAGTAGTTTGACGTATGCTCATGGCTATGTTGAGAGCATTACTGCGC